TGTGAAATTCTTTAAGTTGTTTATACCTTAAATTGGTTTATATCTTAAACCAGTAAAATTTAACTGCTAGGAATCTATTGTAAGGAACTACCCTAAATTTAGAAAGCCTTCATGTATAAAGTTGGCCATCTTAGCGCTCTTTTTAGTAACATATAATCAGAAGCAACCTAGTCAATATCACAAAAATGATTAAATTATGGCCTCTGGTTGAACAAAAAATGTCATAGCTGTTAAAGCAATGCTTAAAAAGATGAATAATTAGAAAAATGCTCATAATCTGTTAAAAATAATCAAGATATAAAATAGTATATGTATTATCATTATAATCACATAAACTACTCCTAATTCTCAAATTCAAGGATTTACAAAAAGAAAAAACAAAAAGATTGAAAGGAAACAATCATTATTGTGTTTGGTTCTAAGACTGGAGAGGGTTTTTGCCTTACTGTACTTTTTCTACTTTTCTTTAATAAACAGACTTGCTATTATAAAGAAAAATTTCATAATAAAAAAGAAAATGTATAATCTTCTAAGATTATAATGTACGTGACTGTAAGTGGTTATAGATTATACAACATAAGGATACTTTCCATAGAAATAGATTAAAATTAGTTTTCCTGAAATGACAAATCAAATATCACTTAAACTCAAGAAAGATGAAAGCAAATTATTATTAAAAGCACTACACAAATCTCTTGAGTATGTAAACACTCTAATATTAATAGCTAATGAAGAACAATGGTGACACAAAAGATGGCTCAATACTATGTCCCTAACATTATTAAAATCAGATTTTATCTAATCAGAAATAGGACATAGTATTTCCTCCATAATTACGATTTCGTGATATTGCTCCATAAAATCAAACACGAGACAAACATCTGGTCAATATTTTATTTCCTCAAGAAAAAGTAAAGAGAAAACAACACTAAGAGAGACGAAAAATACAAATCAGGGAAAAATCAAGCCTATGCAATTTTCAATAAAATAACTCATGAATTTCCTAAGAATAGCATATAATGAAAGCTTTCAGAGTAGTATTCTGCAGGTGATCTGTCTGCTGCAAATTTGTTTCATCTGAATGAGTTGCAGCTATTTCTAAAAAATCCAGATATAAATTTTTCTTAAAAAAAAAAAAAAAAAAATCACCATATCTAGCAATGTGTCCCATTCCTGTAGAGCAATCAGTCTAGCCTGTCCCCATTAGATCAGGTACATATACGTGTTCCGGTTTGACCTAGTTTCCACTATTGCCTATTAGTTGTTACAATTGGTTATCTACTTGACCTCATGCACGGACCTCACTTGCCTGAGCCCCTTCAGAAATTTGAGTATGTGATACTTAATTTCATCTACTTTATGCAGAATGAAAATACTTTTAAAATAAGATAATAGTTAATAAGCTCATTGAAAAAGTTAGATCATACAAAAATGCATAAAATCCTAAGACTTAGCTATAACTTCTAATATATTTGTGTATATTCTACTTTTTTCTAAGCAGATAGAATCACAACATTGTTTTAAATGTTTACCAACAATATCATAGTCACTTTCGGATGTGAATAAGACACAGTGCAATAAAATTTTATAATATTAAATGCTAGGATGTATAAACTTCTGCAACAAATATATTTCATAAAAAATATCAGAGAGAGAGGCTGGCCCGGTGGCTTAGCAGTTAAGTTCACGTGCTCTCCTTCAGGGGCCCAGGGTTTGGATCCTGGGCTCGTACCTACTCACTGCTCATCAAGGCATGCTAAGGTGGGTGTCCCACATGCAGCAACTAGAAGGATGTACAACTATGACATACAACTATCTATTAGGGTTTTGGGGAGAAAAAAAAAGGAGGAAGATTGGCAACAGATGTTACCTTACGGCCAATCTTCCTCAAAAAAACAAACAAAAAACAGGCATCATTCATTTTAAAAAAGTCAATGAGTTAAGAAATCATTCATGTTTTATGGGCCGGCCCCATGGCTTAGCGGTTAAGTGCGCGGGCTCCACTACTGGCGGCCCGGGTTCGGATCCCAGGCACGCACTGATGCACCGTTTGTCCTGCCATGCTGAGGCGGCGTCCCACATACAGCAACTAGAAGGATGTGCAACTAAGATGTACAACTATCTACTGGGGCTTTGGGGGGAAAAAAAAAAGGTGGAGGATTGGCAATAGATGTTAGCTCAGAGCCGGTCTTCCTCAGCAAAAAGAGGAGGATTAGCACAGATGTTAGCTCAAGGCTGATCTTCCTCAAAAAAAAAAAAGAAAGAAAGAAATCATTCATGTTTTAAAAATAACCATTTGAATAGCAAAAATTGATGCCTATACTTACGATGTAGCTAAATTTCACATAGAGGTTGGTGACCATTTTAAGTCACCACTCTAACTAAAACAAAGTTCAAAAGACTTCCGTCAGGGGCTGGCCCCATGGCTTAGCAGTTAAGTGCTCGCGTTCCGCTGCTGGCGGCCCGGGTTTGGATCCCAGGCGCACACCAACGCACCGCTTCTCCGGCCATGCTGAGGCCGCATCCCACATACAGCAACTAGAAGGCTGTGCAGCTATGACATACAACTATCTACTGGGGCTTTGGGGGGAAATATAAATAAATAAAATAAATAAAAATTTATAAAAAAAAAAAAAAGACTTCCTGTCAGGCATTAAAAGTACCAAGTCCCAGTTTCAGCAGTTTTCTCTGAGTATTGATAACACTGTCTGTAGTAAATTTCAAGATGCAAGATTTGCCCTACAGAAATAAAAATACACTGAGTTCTCATGGGATTGTATATGCATTAAACCAGGGCAAAACCACTGACACCTAAACCAAATGAAAACTGAAGCTTGGCGCTTATAATATTAAAGCCAAAAAAAGTGCAATACCACAATGTAGCAGAGACAGTTGCAACAAACTCTTCAAACCACTTGAATGGATCATCTATGGATTCCTATTACATTTAAGCAAGACACCGTAGTACATTAGGATACTAAAAATAGATAATACATTATAATTCTGTTGAAATATCCTATTAGTAAAATAAGAGAAAAACATCAATATGTATTTCTCAAAAGGGCAACATTGAAAGATTAATTGCAGATGGTGTCCTGATAACTAATAGAATCAGTTCATCCTATTATGAATGGCTATCAATTTCCCTTTATAAAGAATGGATATTGCCTGACAGAAAATCTAATTTAAAATATGCAAAATATCAAAAGGACAAAGATCTTACTTAGAGGCCACCCATACTGCAAGACCACAATAACAAGCACCAGAAACTAAAGGACTTGAACAAGGCACAATAAATGTAACATATGCTCTTCACTTCACTCACAGGAGTACCACCCAGTTCTTACTGAAAGTCGATTTTACACAGAACTTTAACAAACTGGAATACTTATTTTTGAGGCCCACAGCTGATGATAAGTCTGAAATCAAAATATCATTTTATAGAAACTGAGGTTCAGAAAGATGGGTGAGCAAGAAACAAAACCCAAATTTCCTAACCTAGGAAGTTTGCATACTTCTACACTTCTGACACCAGAGGAAGGCAACCCTGACAACAGCCAGCAAAAAAAAAAAAAAAAAAAAAACTTAAAAAGCAAACACAATTCAAAAAAAAGCCCCACAGACTCCTACTACAAGACAAAACCTATTAGGATCTCAGGGCACCAATAATCCTGAATCATAAAGAAAACGTTAAACAATGTAAAATAAACTCTGTTTAATACAGAACTATGTAATTTGTTATAGAAATAATCCCATCTCAAATGGTTAAAATAAAAGCGGGGGTTCTAAGATGGGTAAATTTTCGGGTACACAAAAAAATATGAATGAAAGAAGCAGCCACTCTAGATATCTGTGCCTTTTCTGGATTTTATGGCACCATTTCAAAAATGTTCACACACCTCCTGCCCATCATCGTTACGAACCAGCAAGTTACTTGCCATTCTTTGCCAAATGGGAATACATACACACATATTTTCTCCTATCCAGTTTTAGCTACTGAAAATTAACGTACCCCCAAATTTCCAAAACATTTAATTGTCCCTTGGACGTATTTGTAATCACTCTTGCAAAAACTTGGTCCTGCAGAGAAAGTACTGTGGTGGGAAGAAATCAAAACCAATGCACAAAATGGTGCTTTTATAACATTTCCAAAACGACTGGGAGTTCTCCATTCCCGCATACCTCGCCTTAGCTCTTAAAAGACTAAAGATGAGCCAAATTCGCACACTTCCCCCATGGCATATGGAGCTCCGAAGCCATCACCTTTCTCCTAAAGAGTAATTATCTCCTCCTAAAAGGCCCGCGCAGTTCGCAGCTCCTCCAAAACGTGGGAGAACTTGGAGACAGCTCTGGGATGAGAAAGGACGAGCTTGAATTTGAGTTTTAGGAAAATGCTTAACTAAGTGGCCTGTGTCACTTGACTATGCATAGTCGCCGTATGTGAGAGGAAAAGGTCGGAGTAGGCGAAAAGCCTGTCTTCAACCTAATGTTAACCCCTGTGATCCAGGCTCCTCGTCCGCCACTCTCCAACCCTAACCTGACAGGACATCAGGTTACGCCTCCCCCTTCCCCATCAATCCTCCCACCTACCCCGCATTAGTGCTTAGCCTTACGATTTTGAAGCTTCGAAAATCACCTGGCTCCCCAGAGTTCAGGCCGCCGTCGCTGCCGCCATATTACAGCTTGTGCGGCAAAATGCGTCAGGGAGGGAGGTGTGCGCCCGAGTGTAGAGGGCGGGGGCTGGCAGAGGGAGGACTGTTTCGCAGGCCCGGAAGGGGCGGCTGGAAGCCTTCTCCAGCTGCAACAGCTGCAAAGCCTGCGCCCCAGTCCTTGGGGGCCCCCTCTGGGACCAGGCAGCCCCGATACCTCAAGAGGAAGACGGTTAACTGGCCGGGCCTATCGCGCCGGCTCCGCCCCTCTCCTCGGGCCCTTCCCGCTCTTGTACCCCGGGACTGCTGCAAAGGACGCCACCAAAACAACACTGGCCTCGCGCCACCTACCTGTACCAGTACGGTCTCCTCTTCCCGGGGTCCGGTCCTGTAAAGCGCTTCAAATCTACCGCCGCCAGAAAAGGCGCTAAAGCCCACTAACCGCCTCCCTCCCCCACAACCCAGTCCCGGCGTGGAGGGGAAGCGTCGCGCCGGAAATACGTCACGGGTTAGTTGACCTCATCTCCTGGTGTTCTCTTGCTTGCGTCACCTCGACGCTCCCTGGAGATGTAGGATGTTGGTGCCTGTTAAGTAGCTCGATGTTTTATGTGTGAGGTGATTGGGAACTTTTGTAACCGTCAGAATGGCTTGTCGTTCGTGAAATGAAGTGCTCCATTTAGTAAACATTTATTGATCTTCCGCCAGGGTGTTGGGAAGGAAGCCTTACCTTCAAGGAGCTTCCAGTTAACGCTATGACACAAGTTTTAAAAAACAAATGAACCAAGTGCTGTTTGAGAAAAGGAGGAAATTGCAAAGGGCATTGACTCTTTTTAAAATATTATACCCGCAACCCCACGATATTATCCTTGTTTTACAGATAAAGAAATTGAGGCTCGGTGAGGGTAAGTGCCTCGCTCCCAAACACTGTTCCTAAATACCAAAACAAGTCTTTGACTCCAAATCCAGTGCCTTCTAGGGAAAATAGGACATATATTGTTATTTAATTATTCTAAGAGTCCGTAGATTGTTAGAAGTAAATGCCCACTGCTCTTTGGGAAAAGGGAAGCCGGCTGAAATCCTTGTGGGGATGTGGAGTGAGTGTGTTTTAAAGGAACGAGCTGGGCTGGCCCTGTGGCTTAGCGGTTAATTGCGTTAGCTCCGCTGCTGGCGGCCTGGGTTCGGATCCCGGGTGCTGACGCACCGCTTCTCTGGCCATGCTGAGGCGGTGTCCCACATACAGCAACTAGAAGGATGTGCTGCAACTATGACATACAACTATCTACTGGGGCTTTGGGGGAGAAATAAATTAATTAAAATAAATAAAGGAATTAGCTAAGGAGACAACGTTTTATTAAAGGAATTAGCTGAGGAGACTTAACGTTTTATTATCCTATAAAAAGACTGGAAGTTGCGATCATGTAAATTTTTCACTCATTTACGCTAGATAAATTATCAACAACAGTTGGGCGTGTGCTACATGTAAGGGTCTTGACCAATTTCCATAGTTATAAAACAGAGAACAATCCCCACCCCCACCCCACCCCACGCGCTTCTTTTAAGCTGTTGCCTTTGTTGCAGGAGAGCAGCAGCATATTGATCTTTGGACAGTTCAGAGGTTATATGGATTTATACTTTGCAGTGAAGAGGGCAATTCTGTGATACCTTAAAAAATCTGATTTATATTAAGCACTATATTAAGATGGATTTCTTTAAGCATTGGTTTGTTTGAATTTTGTTCAGCTTCCTTCAGAATCTATTTTTATTTAGCTGCGATATACAGATTAGTTTCTTAGATTTCTACTTACTGGTAGAGGTAATGTGTAAGTGACATTACTGCTACATTGGTATATTCTCCTTTCTCACCCATCCAGTTAGAAACAATTTTGAGGATATGTTACGGATTATTATATGATAATTAACATTTTGAGGTGCACAAATGTAACATTATTGCTTGGAGGTCCTCAACAAACCTCCACCCTTGGCCCTTGGGTTTTCTCACAAGTAAAATAGGAGTATTATGGGGACTAGTATAAGGGATAATGAAGCATTGAACCTTGTAATCTTCTAATATGGGGTTTATACCCTGACAGGCTTTTTTACTTATGGGGTATTGATTAATTCTGGGGAGAAATTTTGAGGGATCTATTTGAATCTTGATGGGAGATGTGCTGTGAATTTTACCAATGTTTTTTGCCCATATTTTGCCCATAAGGAGAGTGGCAGTTGGTTCAATAGGGACAAATGATCACCGTTTCCAGAATCAGCTCTGGTACCCTCAGAGATGGAGCAAATAAAAGATGTCAAAGCGTCATTTAATTCACTTGGTTGACTGTTTTGATGGCTACTGTCAAATTCTAGAATTATTTCCCCCTTTCAGGAGAGAGAAATTCCAGGGTGATACTCTTCCAGCGTGAAGTCTCATCCCAATAGATGGATAGGGGCAGAGGAATTAAGGAGACAAGGATGTGTGTCTCTCAAAGGGCTTAAACAAAAGGGAATAGGTTCAGAACAGGTACCTTTTGAAGTTTATTAAAGATCCCCTACTTGAACTGTTTTAGTACTCTGAGGCAGGGGCTGCTTTATAGTAGCCGGGTTGAGCACCGAGTGTGGCTCTGGTGTCAATTAGGACAGAAGAGATTCATCTCCAATCTGGAAAGGAAGGATTGGGAAGAGCCCCTGTAGTTCCTTGGAGCCCCATCCTGAGAATTTGGAGGACACTGGAAAAGCTGGTTAAAGAGCTGAAGGCACCTGAAGTGTTTAAATTTGTAACAATCTCTTTTCCAATGTCCTGGCTCTTTGCAATAATAGCAGAAACTAGGAGAATTTTGGTTTTGTTTAGGGGCCTTCGTTTACTGGAGTTGAAGATTAAGAATTTTAGCAATCTTTCTTTTAGGTGACTCATTTACAGGTTGAGAGAGGTGGTTTGCCAGGTTAACTAAATCTGGAGTGGACATAGTTTCCTATTCCATCCTGGTCCTTTTTGCTACAAGGGAAAAGTCCCAGTTCAGCCCATTAATAAACATAGAGTTAAAAGCTATCCCAGATTGGATAAAGAAGATGTGGTATATCTATATATACAATGGAATACTACTCAGCCAAAAAAAGACAAAATCGTTCCATTTGCAACAACATGGATGGATCTGGAGGGTATTATGTTGAGTAAAATAAGCCAGACAGAGAAAGACAAACACTGTATGCCTTCGCTTATATGTGGAATATAAACTAACACAAGGACAGAGAGAACAGTTTGGTGGTTACCAGGGGGAAGGGAGTTGGGGGGTAGGCACAAGGGGTGAAGGGGCGCATTTATATGGTGACTGACAAATAATAATGTACAACTGGAATCTCACAATGTTATAAACTATTATGACATCAATTTAAAAAATTAAAAAAAAAAGCTATCCAGGTGGAATCAACGTCTAAAGTAAGACTGGAATTTTCTTTAAAAACAATCTGAAGTCGACTGTAATGGTTATGAACAAGTTCATCAGGTTTTTGTGCACAAGCCTGAATTTTGTTCCAATCAACAGGCTTTGGGAAAGCCATAGGAATTGCCCGATGAAGTGGTCTAGTGATTGCCTGAGCCTGATCATACAACAGGTCGTCACATTGGTCTCTAGTTGTAATTCTAGAGACCCTTCAAGATTTTCCCATTTTCAGTTTGCATCAATGCTGGGCCTGGCCTTCACTGACAAGCATGTGAACTAGCTGATATAGGTCAGAGAAACCGGGTTGATAAGTTTCAATGACTATATTAAATTCCTCAGCAAATCTGTAAGGATCTTTAGTAACTTTGGGAAAATCTTTAACTATGGCTCACAGTTCTAAATTACTTTTCTTTATTTTTGGTTAAATCTGTCCATTTGGTTAGAAATGCGCATGAGGAATGGCCACAGTTTTTTTGTTTGTTTTTGCAAGGAAAGATTCGCCTTGAGCTAACATCTGTTGCCAATCTTCCTCTTTTTTTTTTCTCTTCCCAAAGCCCCAGTGCATTGTTGTAGATCGTTCTAATTCTTCTATGTTAGCTGCCACCAAAGCATGACAACTGCCAGACGAGTGGTGTGGTTCCACGTCCAGGAAACGAACCTGGGCCACTGATGTGGAACGCGCCGAACTTTTAACCACTAGGCCATCAGGGCTGGCTCGTGGCCATGGTTTTTAAACATAAAATCAGCCAGTGTCCATGTAGGGGGAGCACCCTTAAAATATTTATATAACTGGAATCTCATTTCTTAGGAGTTTTTTTTCTAGAGCAAAGGAATAATTCTCAAATAGCCTAAACAACTCAAACAGCTTAAACAGCTTGCAACTCGAAAGCTTGAACAGCTCAAACAGCTTGCAGGCTTAATACCAGCCAGTTCGAATAGAACAATCCCATTTCAGTAAGGTAGACCAAAGGTTGAATCAACACAGTTCCGAAGAACAGGTCAGTTCCAAAGGGAAATGGACCGAAGGTTGATCAATGCAGTTCCAAGGACTTCCAAGGGAGTCAGGCCAAAGTCTGGACTGGTAAGTTCCAATGAAACAGCCCAAAAGTTGGACTAAAGGCTAGCACAGTCTCAGTAGAAACAGCTGGGTTTCAAAAGGAATCAGACTGAAGGCTAGCACAGTTCCAAGGAACAGCCTGATTCAAAGAGTCAGGCCAAAGTGCCACCTGAGTACACACAGACAGACAAGGTCTTAACCAGAAAAGGATGAAGCCTTAAAATAGATCTCAAATAAAGCCTGGAGAGCTTCAAAACACAAAGAAGGCAGAAACTCAGATCCAGGAGAAAGACTTACCCTTGAACTCCAGCGTCCATGAGAAAAGCAGTGAGCTCAGTGGCTCTTTTGTGGGTTCTGCGCCTGTTTCTTCACCAGCCTTGGGCCCCGTACGGGTTACCAAAATGTTGATCTTAAACAAATAGACAGCCAGTTATTTCTCTAGCAAAAATGGGCTTATTTGGGATCAGCCAAAAATTGGAGTTCGGGGTCTGCAACCATGGCAAGCCACTTGCAAATCCCCAAGCATCGAGGAGAGGAGAAACTCTTTTATAGAGGAGAAGAGGAAATTGGGAGGGCTATAGTAAAGAATTCAAAGTGTAGTAATTTTTCATTAGATGAGTTGTGATAATCTCTCATTGGCTGAGCTTCTTGCTGGTCAAGAAGAAGTCTTTCTTCTTACTGTTGGACTCCAATATTGACGTAGGGCATGAGAACCTTTTGGCCTCCTGACTCCATTTTGAAGAAGTTTCTCTTTATTAATTTCCATACTTTGTTGGGTCCCAAATATGTTGAAATTTCATTGCTCTGTAAAATCTCAAACTTTCCCAAATTGATTTGACGTGGATTTATTATTTCAAGAAGGAAGGTGTTGCAAATCAGAGGAAGTATTATCTCCAACAATACTGTAGCTTAAAGAGCAGAGGAGTTTTTTCTCTCTTACATAATAGATCTGAGGTGAGTGGGCCAGGTCAGAGGGCAGCTCTGCTCCATATAGTCATTCAGGAACT